TCCCCTTGAAGCATGAAGGCCTTTTTCAGCTATTTCTGATTTTTTGCTTTTAATGATAATCAAAGAGTACATATTAAACCCATATAAAGTATATTTATTTAACAATTCTTTTGACATAAGATATTTTTATCTAAGTTGCATTATTAAATACCTGGCTGTATCACAACTACTGTCAAGCTATAGAACATCTAAAAGATATTTAAACATTAAAAAACATCATCAGCACAATAAATAGCTTTAATGATGGTTCTAATTTATAAAAGAAGTGGAAAGAGGTGGAGAACTCAAATCTTTGCCAGGTGTGGCAACATATGACATCCTAACAGCCTTGACTGCGCCATTAAGGTAGACATACACGAAAGAATGCAAAAGGAAAAATTACATGGTACTATAACCATTGAATTATATACTCATGACCTTTAAACCTGAACATAAATAAACCTAAGCTTGTAATTTTAAAGGAGTATTATGTAAGGTTTCTAGATTATGCTTACTCTTTAAAACTGAACATGGAAAAAAAAATTTTATGTTTTACTTTAAAAATGTCTGTTATTGATGCTCAACTGTTAAAACAATATCATATTATACTAATGGAAAGAAATTAATCTGAAACTGTAAATACGTTACAGCAGATCACTTGTATTTCTAGTAAAACTCTGCATCATTTGGCATTTTCTTTCAGTGTCTTTCAATCCGTGTTTGTGAGCAAGCAAGGAAAGGACCAGGAGAAGCTGCACGATGAAACCCCGCGTTAGAAGTCAGCTTTAAGCTGTCTGTGCCATCAGCTGGAGGGCACTGCAGGTGACAGGAGACAGAGCCTGTGCTACCAGTCTTTTGGCTTGTTTGTTGTGCAATGCTTCGGGAACGCAAATCAGTGTGAGCAGAAACTCTCCAAATACACACTGACTTCCTGTGTAATACATGTCCTAGGTTAATAAGTAAATTGCCCTGTTTTGCATAGCAAAGACTATGTAAACTTGGCGTTTGGTTTGGGCCTGACAAGCACAGTGGTTAGATTTTGATCCTGTGACAACAGGAAATGAATGGGTTTGGACATTTTGAAAAGCCTTTCCCTCCCTCAGACACAGAATAAGTTTGATATGGCGTTTATATACCTACAGTCAGTGTCTGAAACAACAACTCCAGGCCATGGTGCAGCACTAAACAATCACCCAGGCTGATGGGCTTGGCAATATTCAGCATGAATGTATTCAAGTCATAGCAACTCCTCTAGAGAGGCTTCTGCTTTCTTCAAGCAACATTTGCTGCCATTTCCACCACGTTGACTTCAAAGTAACAGAAATTAACTAATGTAACAAATTAGTTAATATAGCAATTAACTAATGTAACAGAAAATCACTGAGCGCTTACTAGAGAACCCGGCTCCCAGAATTCATCTGAAATATTAAATTGACTGAAATATGTAAATTTTCTACCTAAAACAAAAAACAATATTGACAAATCCAATTATTTAAGCATCTCAAACACAACGGGCTGAATTAGCCTTTGCTTGTCTGTATCACAACTAACCTCACATGGAAGATTCTAGAATTATAACTGCATTCCAATAAGTAACATTTTCTCATGTGCTTCCCAAATGTTCTCAGATAGTCCTAAATTCATGTTACATTTGACATTTCCTATAAATACGAATAGTTCTGACTTCCTCATACTAAGAAAAGACCTTCCAGAGATAATTTTTTAAAATCAGTATTATTATAAGACTTTCAAAATTTTTTCCTCTTCATGAGATGACAGCAGGTTTGGCCCCTGGACCAGAACCCAGATCTCATCTCATATTCAGCATTTGAGCTATCTGGGGCACTGTCCTTGGGAAATCAATGACTCCTTTTGTGCATGGCCTTCTCCTGCCTTTTTAAAGTCATCCTTCCACTTGATAGAGAATTGTTAAAATAATTTTAACTTTAGGGACTAAAGTTCCCTTCTTAACAAGCGAAAGTTTCTCTTCCTGTGAGCAAGGAATTAAAACTACCAATGCATATGCTATTGCAATAAAGGACACCCTGCTCACAACGTAAACCATGCACCACAACAAGGATCTTAATTCAAAAGGCTGCCATAAAAGAAAACACATTGCAAACTTTTCCCCACATCTAAGAAGCACAGCACAAGGACCTGCTGTTGCTGCTGCCAACAAGAGAAACCAGAGCCACTGAATAAAGCATTTCCTACTTTAGAAAGAAACTCCAGTGCTAGAGAGCATCGCTGACACAGATCAGGCAGCAGCTACGCAAGAGAAGAATCGGAGCAGGAGAGGCCTCCGGGCACCGTGCGCTTCCCACCGCCGCGACAGCCTCACCCAGAACCGCTTCTCACGCGGCTCCATTAAACCTTAACGCGCCTTAGCGAAAAACAACGAGGAAAGATCGTTTTGAGAAGGCGACACGGGTTTTGTGGGCACGAGGTGTCCGAAACGGAGCCTGGGAGTGAAGCGGGGGTGGGGATCGGAGCCCCGCTGCCGGCCAGAGGCGCCGCGGCCCCGCAGCCCCCGGCCCGCGGCTCTCCCGGGAGCTCAGCGGGCGCTCGCAGGACGCGGCCGCGGCGGAAAGCCCGAGCCGAGACCGCCGGAGCCCCGCGGGGCCGGGCGGCAGCTGGGGCGTCACCCGTCCTCCCGGCTCTCCCGGGGCCGGGAACAACACGGAGGCAGCGCTGGCCCCGATACGGCCTGCGCTGGGCCGGTCTCACCTGCGGGCTGTCCTCCAGCGTCTCCTCGATGGGCAGTTTGTCGATGCCGGGCATGGCGGCGACCGCGCTGAGCGCCCGCGGCTGCGCTCCCCCCGCCAGCCCCGACCCGCCCCCGCGCGCCGCGCGCCGGACGTCCCGCCCCCCGCGCGTCCCGCTTCCCCATTGGCCCGCCCAGCTTCCCCGTTGGCCCGCCCGGCTTCCCCATTGGCTGGCGAGCCTGCCCGTTCGCGCGCAGGCGCGGGGGCGAGGCGCTCGCGCTGCCCCTCAGGCCGGGGCTGTCGGGGCTCGCCTCCGCTGAGGTGGCTGCCGGGACTAAAGTCCTGCCTGCCGAGCAAAGCGTCCTCCCAGCCCTGTCTGTGCTCCGGGGGCTGCTGGCGTCTTCCCACAGACAGTTACCTGGAGGGCCGCTCCACAGCAAGGGAGCGCTGTTGGGTCCCTGCCGTTCTGGAGCGTCTTTGGCACTCTTGCCATGTTGTTTGGAGCACCCCTTTTGGCAAGTCTCCTCTTATCCCCGCCATGTGGATGGGCCCCAAGTGGACGCCATCCTCTTCTACTGTGCTTGCAGTGAGACGCCAAGAGGCCTTAAGCTGAGACAGGAGAGATTCTGATTAGATGTTAGAAAATAGTATCTCTGCTCTCTTAGACTGAATAGTTGTGGTGCCATAGGTTGGTGGCAAATTTTAAATGCATAAAACTACTGTGAGGGCTCACTGTAATCAAAACAGATCATTGGTTGGACTTGGGAACTGGTTCAGCTCTGAAATTACTTCGAATTGTAGAATCCTTAAGGTTAGAAAAGACCTGAGATCATTGAGTCCAACCCTTAATCCAGGAGCCCGTGTTCACCACTAAACCACGTGCCTGTGCCACATCCTCACATCTGGACACTTCAGGAGTGGTGATTTTCAGTGCCACCCTGCCCATGGAGAAACTGTTCCCAATATCCAGTCTAAACATTTCCTGGCACAACTTGAGGCTGTTTCCTCTGGTCCCGTCCCTTCTTGGACCTGGGAGAAAAGAATGATCCCTATCTGGCTACAACCTCCTTTTCAGGTAGTTTTAGAGAGCAAGACCTGGTAGACTTGATGATAGTTCTTATCTGGCGGGAGAAAAAAAAAAAAAAAAAAAAAAAAAAAATGGGTGTAAAAAAAAAAAAAAAAAAAAAAAAAAAAAAAGGCTATTCCCTTGCTGGTTTTGCCTTTTTGGGGCCAGGTGAATTTAGTGAAGACCAGATTAGAAAGCATATTAAGTATATTCATTCAGCAGAGCAAATGATCAATTATTGTGGTGCAGTCTTGCTATGAGACCATTCTTTATGTTGTATCAGGTTATGATTTACCATTAAAAGCAGATAAAGGACAGGACGGGTGTGTTAAATTGCAAACAAAGATTTTTGAGGTGGCTTTTGTTTGTTTGTTGGTTTGGGTTTTTTAGGGGGTGGTGGGTGGTTTTGTTTTTGGTTGTTTTTTTGTTTTGTTTTTTTTTTTGCTGTTGTGTTCTTTGTTTTTCCCTGTAGGGAGTAGTAAAGAAATTTCCAATACTGTTCAGTCAATTAATTTACCAGCTCAGCTGGTGACTCACCTGACTGAAGCAAGTCACAGCACCTCTCCCTTTCCCTGTCAATAAGGGTAATAATTCAGTGTTATCTTACAAGGTGTTTAACAGACTAAGTCCTGTCATGGACATTAACATATCATGATGTATATATATTTGTGCTTTCTGGTTTTGAGACAGTTAATTTGTGACCAAGCTTTACAGCAGTCTTTACAGCAATAAGAAATTACTTTGTTTTGTACTGTAAGATCATTTTCCCAGTGGAATTCAGGAGGTAGTAACTTTAAGTGGGTTTGGTTTAGTTCGCTTTGTGTATTTACAGCTGTGAGTGGCATCCAAGAGTTTTACTTGAGCTACAAATTTGACTGCAACAAATGTAAGAGTAATGAGTTGAAGAATCCCTCTGCATCCTCTAATTGTTGTTTTAGTGTTACACCGTTTTCAGCATTGTAGACCTTTTGTTAGTGTGAGTGGGGTTTTTTATTGTTTGGGCTTTTTGATTTGTGGAGTTGGGTTTTTTGTTTGGTTTGGGGATTTTTTTGGGCAGTTGTTGGTTTTTGGTTGTTATATTTTGTTGTTGTTGTTTTTTCTGCAAAATATCTTCTAAGAAGCCTTAAAAATATGGAGAATTAATACTTGGCACTTTGTCAACAGAGAGAAGAGCAGTGAACATGTCTTCAGAGGATTCCAGAGGTGTGCCATTATGGGGAGAACATTTTGCCTCTGCTGGAGGGTGAAAGTAGCTCTGTGGATAAGGTAGGTTTTATTTGCAACGTTTCCCACTTTTTAACACACTTTCTTATACTTTTGCTAGTGGCAACCTTGGATTAACCTTGAATTTAGCTGCATTCACTTAATCTTCCTGTGTCAAAGTAGCTTTTACTTCAAGAAATAGCTAACTGCTTTGTTTTGTGAAAATTGGTGTACTGTTTTGAGGTATTCTTGCTTTAAAAAAACTTGGGAATTCTGAAGTTGGCTTTGAAAATAATACTTGTTATTTGTGTTAAAAACATATTTGAAAAAGAGCTTTATTGCAGCATGACTTCTGAGGTGGTGAAATACTGGGTAAAGAGGTTGTGGGAAAGGTGAGGTGAAAAGTGAATTTTTGGAGTGTGATAAGTAATCAAGAAAGATAATATATACCATTTATACCCTTTTAAAAATCTGAAAATGTTGCCCAAGCTCTAGGGAAAGGTGACCCAGCAGTGCAGTAGCAGTGGTGAGAAGAGCAAAAAGCAGCAAGAGTAAGAACTGGGCCTTCAGACCAAAACCCCAAGAGCACTGGTGTGGTTTCCTCAGCTGGAGTAAACAGCTGGTGGAGGCTTCCCATCTCTGGAGAACGAGACTCCTTCTCCTAAAGAGATGAACTCCACTGTCCCTGGGTGAAAAACAGTGGTGCAGAGTCTGAAAGGGAGATTAGTTTCCTGCCTCATCAAGTATGTGATGCTGTAAGAGGATTGGATTTGCATATCCAAAGGAGCAGTGCGTTTTCCTATTATTGATTACTTAGGATTCCCAACTTAATGTTTGCTGTGTTGCTCTAATTACCCCTACCAAGGTATTTAGTTAAAGTCTATAGGTAATTTCAAATGGGTTGCAAGGTAGTATTGGTCAATACTAATGGGCCAAACAATGAAATACAGTTTCCAAGAGAAGGCTTAAGGTCCATAAATGGTGACTGGAGCTCATCTTGCAAGCGAAGATTGCAGGCGGATGCATGCTGCTTCAAGATCCATTGATATGTGTGAGAAGTGTCCTTGGTAAGATCACTTCTGGAGTTGTCACTCTTTTAATAGTTCAGTTTGACAACAATCTTCCTGCACAACACAAAGTCAGGCCAGAAGGTGGGGTTACTTTTCCTCCCAAAATAAAAATATTGTTTTCATTTTTGCCTGTTACTTTTGGACAAATCTTGATTTTATAGTGTCTCTACAGAAATTCCTCCTTTTCTTGTCCTGAACCAAAAGCTGGTTTAGAGCATGTGATGTAAACTGCTGTGTGACTGACAGTTGAGCTTGAATATAAAAATGTTATAGTCTGTATTTTATTATAATGGATGAAATCAGAATTCTGTCAGATTTCATTGCAAAGACTTTATCTCCTTTCTTCCCATTACTCATAATTGTTTTTATGATTTTAAGTGTTGGCTCCGTACGATTTAAATATGCTTCTGTTTGCTATAAACCTACAAGAAGGGAGAGACATCAATGAGAAAAAGCATGCTTCTAAACCTGTAAATTTGAGTGTACTACTTCTATTACTTGAAACTTTGCCTTTATGTAGTGAAGAATTATCAGGAAATTTCATATCTGCTATGTTTCAAAAAGGCTGCAACAAAGTTATTTTAATAAGAAAAATGAATGCATGAATTATTTAAAATAGTTGGTGCAACTGTTCCTATTAACTAATCCAGGCACTTGGAAGGCAATTACACTGAGCTTTGACAACACTGCCAACCCACTGCACAGTGCCTTATGCCAAAAGCTATTGTTGTTTTATTGACCACGTTCACCATTACATATGCATATGAAAAAACAGAGGCATTTTCATCGGGATTACCCTAATAGCATTAAGAGATTATTTTTTAAATTTCCTTGGAAGGAAATTCACTTAAATAAGATTACTTATTACTTGACTGGTTTCCTATCATGCTTCTATGCTTAGGTAAGTGGAGTCCATTAGAGTATAAAGTTTTTTAAAAAACTGATTTTATACATTAATGATTTCAAATAAAAGAGAAGTACTATATTTGTGCACAGCTTCTTTTGAGAAAGTGAAGTCGATGCTCTGGTTAGGAGAGATAACACTCTTTGTCCCCCTTGGTGGCCCCCCTAGTGTCACCATTAGTTGCTAATTACTTGCAAACAAATAAACAATTAACTCCTCGTGCCTCTTGGTGGGAGAGTTTTCATTGACATGCTAAAACTTTCTAATAAAAGATTTTAATTAATGACGTTACAAATCCAACCCCCTTGTCAACATGGCTATAAGGAGGACTTGTGGAGAAATGCAAGTACAGTACTCCTGCTATGCTGGCTGAGGGCGAAGGCATGGCCGGTCCCTCGCTGTGTGCTGCCACCACGGCGGCCTCTCCGGACCTGCACAAGGTGCCCGGATTGGGAGAGAGTAAAACCACACACTGCTCCTTTTCAATCGAGAGTATATTGGGACTGGAGCAGAAAAAAGATGGCATTCCAGCTGGGAAACCTCACAGACCCTGGATGGATGCATGCACCAGCTTGGGTAAGTCAGTCTGTTTTGTAACCCCTTAAGCTTTTACCCTTCAAAAATACTGGCATGTTTCTACTACAGACCAGTAAATTGAAGCTCTCCTTTTCTTGTTCTTTCTAGTTTTAGGTGATGACAGTAATCCTCATCTGCAAATCCCTGTTGTTTGCTATGAAAATCCATTATTTCATGCTAGAAGGGATCCAGTGCAAGAGGAAAACGTTTTGAAATGTGAAAAATATTTTTCAGTTACTGAAAGGCTGTCTTTCAAACGAGAATTGAGCTGGTACAGGGGTAGAAGACCAAGAACTGCATTCACCAGAAACCAGGTAGGGCTTTTCTTAGCATTTAACAAATGAGGAACAATGTAGTTTAGTAAAATGTTGGAAGAAACCTCTAACAGCTGATCAGTGTGATGTACCTCTACAGAGAGAAATGTAATCAGGAACTAGTGTAAATTAACAGGAATGTTGCTAATTTCAGCAGATCTGTGTTTATGCCTGGAATCAGAATTGTGCAAACACTGATCAGACCTCTCCTGTTGAGAAAACTAAGTTGTTATTTTGTTTTATGTATTACTCCTATGAACATAGTATTAACTATTCAACAAGTGTATTTTAATCTCCTCAGATTGAAGTCTTGGAAAATGTTTTTCAAATGAACTCCTACCCTGGCATTGATATTAGAGAAGAATTAGCTCGCAAATTAGATTTAGATGAAGACAGGATCCAGGTAATTAAATATATATTTGAACTTTCCTGTAATTCCAGCTATATGTACTCTCTGTACTACTATATGTAAGTAGTTTGACAGCAGTAATGAGAATGTTAATAATCTCAATTTAAACCAATATAACATGAAACATGCCTTCAATGATTTGAGAAATGGAAACCTTTGAATTCCTTCTGAGATCTAAAGCCTTCCATAGCACTATAATATTTCCACAATATCTGCTCTGTTATTCTCTAGTTATTATGTGCAGAACTTGATAATTTCCTTAAAATAATTTTTATGCTTTGCTTGTTACCATATTTGAAAAATAAATTTGAAATGGGTATGGACATAATTTGTGAGACTGCCAGCAGAGCATAGATGTGTTAAACCAGTGCTTGAACCTATGTCCTTACCTGGCCAAAAGCAAAATCTATTCAGGGATGTTAATTATTGATTTCCAGGTAATTCAATGTGGTAAGAAGCATGCTGTATACGTTAGAATTTGGGCTTCACTCTGTTGTTTATCAGGCTTTTGTTGCAAATATTATATTGGGATTGATGAGAAACTTGATGCTGCAAATCGTTAAGCAGCTGAAGAAATAGCACCATAAGACATGTGTGAATTCCAGATGTTCAGGATCTTCCAGGATCTGATTCTGTCACTGAATTTAATACCAGGTTTTTTATTAATTACAGTGAAGCTGATCTCACTTTCCAGTTAACCTGGGGATATTATTTTCTTTGTCTGTGGTGATAAAATTACAGGTAGCAGATGACATGCTGTCATCTGTAGATTTTAAATTTATATTGAACTTGCAAACTGCTGTTGTCACACAAAATATTGTCATACTGTGTGAATAATTTTAAGTTTCAAATATTACTCTGCTTCCACTGTTGTGTTTCTGAAAAGCATCCCTTCTCTTTCCATTTTAGATCTGGTTTCAGAACCGCCGTGCAAAGCTGAAAAGATCACACAGAGAATCTCAGTTTCTAATGGTGAAAAATACTTTCACCTCCAGCCTGCTAGAGTAGAAGGAAGGATGGCTTGCTGTTACAGTACTGCTACAGAAAATGAAGAATTATTCATAACCTGTATGAAGTAATGATATAGTAATTATGATTTTATGACCAGATATGAAAGTTTATTATAATTTTCATTCAAATAAACTGTAAATACTTGAAATATTATTCTAATCTAGTTTTTGTGGAAAAAGTGAACTTCTATATATATATATTTGAGTAAGTATTTTCAGAGATGTTGAGATATTTTTGCTGTTTAAAACAGTGCAAACCCTAGGTTGCTCAAGAATTTCAGCTACTATGAATTACAGCAAATGACTTGACAAGCTTTATGGTTTTAGAAGTCTGTTTCAAGTCTGAAATAAACTGTATGCAAAATAGATTTTGCATAAAATCTGAAATCAGTTTGTTGCATTGCAGTTTAAATAGTTTATTTATAAAGAATACTATAGTTTTCATAAAGAGATAATTTTTAGAAAAAAGTGTCTCCAATGGAAGGACTAATATTCAACTGACTTAAGTTTTAACAATTGCTCAGTTAAAAGAAGCTGACAATTATAATCTTTTTATGTAATTTTAATTAATTTGGGTTATTTGGCAATTTAATTCTCTAACTTGGTTATCTCTTCTCTTGTCAGTATAACTGTTCCAGTTATGGAAGTTGCCCTATTATCTTTTAATGACAGAATGTAGCATTTCATGGGATCAGACCAGTGGGGCCAGACCAGATATCCAGATCATTGCCATTAATTTTAGGATGTTGAATTCATTTTTATCAAACAGTACATGAAAGTTAATTATCCTCATATTTGATATTGAACTTGAAGTCAAGGAGAATCATATATGAAAAAAAAAACCAAAAAACAACAACCTTGAGTCTTTCTTCGTGGGCACAATGTAGGGAAATATTTTAAGTACAGGTTTGTGCTGCTCTTTGTTCAGCAGAGATCTAAGCACTTGCCTCATGTGCTGGTGACCTTCAGTGAGACTCCAGGCTGTGTTTCTTGCCAGACATAAATTCTACATTATCTCACAGAGTATTGCTCTTCCTTCTTCATGCTTGTATCCATAACTGTTGTCCAATAGGATGAAAGGCAAGTTGATAAAATAGGATGATAGAAAAAATCATTTTATGTAGTCTCATACTAGGAAAAGCTAAAGGGAGGGATGATCTGACAGTCCTTACTTAGTATTTTGAATTGTAGTTTGAGCTACTATAAGAGATTAAATAAAAAACATTTATATTACTTTAGAACTGGGTGACAGATATTGGCCCTCTGTGTTTTTATCTTCATTGGCTCATTGCCTTCACTTTTATGCAGAATCCTAAAAATCTTGAATTGTTTGGCCTTGCTCCTGGAAATCTTATTTTAATATTGAAACTTTTTTTTTTGTGCTTTATTTGATTTGGGAAATAGCATTCCTAACTGAATTCTGTTGTATCCTGCATTCCAAAATACTTAAGAGAACCACAAGTAAAGCAATTTAAATTGAGCCAGATCCATTAGGAAAAGTTTTTATTGAAATCTCCATTCAGATACCTGCCTGATCTGGTAAAGGCAAAGACAATATTGGGAATGCATTCTTTTATTTTGTTTTTCTTCACACCTCAAAACGTATATTGCCCATAGCTTAACCTTATTGCAGGTAATCTGAAACTATTGTCTACTTTGCTTCTGGAAACAAAGTTTCCAGCAGCAACAGATTAGACTAATCTGTACAGATTGATTGCTTAAGAACCTTACTCTATTATCTGGCAAATACCTAAATACACCTAAAGTCTGCTATAATGGAACTTGTCTCAAGTGACGGAAGTCTGACAAAGCAATTTAAGAGAAGCAGTAGAGTAGTAGCAGAATAATAATAGCACCAGCCCTGGTATCCTGCTCTCCATTAGCAAATGTTACCAGCAGGATCTTTAGTGTGAGGTACTAGGAGTGTCCCACACAGTGCTAAGGGGGAAAGAATTTAAAAGCAGAGTTACATTATTTCCTTGATTTGGCTTAGCTTGTTTTTCCCATAGTAAAGGGATCAGCAAGTCAAAAAAGAGCCTCTCACTTTAGATTAAATCTACTTTGGCCAGTTTGGGTTTAAATTGTGCCCATCACTTTCTCAAATACAGCTGGATTTTTTTTTCCACCTTGGAAAGTATTAGTCTGGACTTGGCAGGGTCTTTTTCTTGTCGTGGCAGTATGCAGGGCTCCCCTGGCAATGTGTGTGACAGTTGTTTCCTGAGCAGGAGCAGCAGTGGGGGAGGCTGTCAGCAGAGGCCACCCTGGCTGCTGGAATTCAGCCCTGCTCCAGTTTTGCATGCTTTGCCCTGCAGTGTTTCTGTTTGTCTCTCTGCCCTTCAGAACATGGAAAGTTTCATTGTTTTTTGTTCTAGTTCTGGCTTAAGCTCATGAAGCCACAGCCTTTGCTTCCAGCCATGTTGCCTTGCTTTGGCTCCAGTGATCATTTGACCCTTGTGATAAGCTGATACATTAACTATGATGGTGAAAAACTGTTCTAGCAAAGCAACCTCTCACTCAAGCTGTCGTGTCAACAGCCATGAGTACAATTTAGGCTCTGTCAGGTTGGTACTGGGCCTCTGCCTCTGACTGTAGTGGGGCCTAAATATTCTAGTAGAGTTTTTCTGAGATTGGTCCAGTACCTGTGATCCTAACTGGGATGCTGGGCTGCATAGTAATTTGTTTTAAATTGATGTTCTTCTCTTAATTACTGTCTCCATATTAAATTTTTTCTAACTACAAATTTCAGCAAAGCCCAGTGTTGTCCAAAAAAGCTGAGCTATGCCTATGGTCTAAAAGCAAATTCATAGTAATTTATACCAAAGAGCCAATGTTCCCAAAGTTCTGTTGTAATGTTGCTTGAAGCATACATAAAAGCATAGTTTAAAGCTTCAATGTAGCATCGAAACCTGGGTTGAAACAGCAATGATTAAATTGTCATTTAACACTTTTAATTTGCAATTATTTAGTTTGTCAAGTCTTTGCTTACAGCACAACTAGCCAGCACACCAGCAAACTACAAGTAATGATTTTTTTCTGGTTTGTGTGGATGCAACTACATTTTTCTACTTGTTAAAAGTTTTGTATTGGAAATAGTTCTGAAAAGATGAAACTTGTGAGTTCTATAGTTGTATGTAAGAAGATTAACATGATACTCAAAGTGTTAGTAGAAGGAAATGTGACTTTAAAAATAATCCAGCATTTTTTATGTGACTGGATTTTAACAGAAGCCTTGTATAAAAGCAGTGTAAAATAATTTGCAAATGCCTTCAGTTTATCTAACATGAAAATAATTTTATCTTAAACAACTGAGATCAGCTCTCACATTTAGCTAACAAGCATAAAATCAAAGCTTCCTAGCAACTGGTTGTAAAACAACTCTTTTATTCCTTAGATTGATTTAATTTCCATATTAATTGTTAGATTGATGATCTTTATCCCTTTATTTTAAAGGACTTACATAATTGGATGGGAAATATAAGGTATTTTATTTTTAAAAATACTTCGGAGCTATAGTGATTTATCTGAATTATTATTTCATGTCCTGTTATTTGTTTAATGGATTAATCTTGAATCAAAATCACATTCTGTTATTTTATATGAGCTATTTATAATATATATCTATTTGATAATGAAAAAGTAGAAAAACAGTAGAATAATCATATGAGAAGAAGCTGAGGCTGTTCAACCTCTTGGGGGGCATAAGGATCCCACCTGATTGCTTCAAAGAGGGAGCTCTTGTGGTCACAGTGGGCAAACAGGGCTGTTGGTGAGGGAGAGGAATCCAGGGCTGCTGAACAGCCTTCAGTTCTAGATTCCTTTGTGGGGGAATAGTGCCTGGGCTTGTGTGACATGAGGGGAAAGGGCTACACAGAAAATATAGAAACCAGTCTGTCATTTTGAGCACCCAAAGTTGATACTGGTGGCCAGCAGCATTTTCAGGACAATCCCAGGAAAGTGAAGTGTTGCCTTGCATGGCCCAGTGTTACCACTGAAATTTTGCTTTCCTAGATTAACTAGCAAATTGGAAAATTAATCATGTACTTGTTGAGGTTAAATTGTATTTCTTTTAATACCTGTGGTTTTTTTTTTTTGCAGGACACTTTTTTAAGCAAGGAGAAAAGACCATGATCAAAACTACTTAGGGATATATGGGCTTTCATGTAGCTGGGTGTGATTGCCAATGACTTTCATACACCTGGGTATGTTTTATATTTGATCACATGGATGTGCTGTGGGGCTGGTATTAGAGTGGCAGAATAAGTACTGCATTGCTTGTGCTTTAAAAATAAAAGGAAAAAAGAGCACAAAAAAAGCAGTGAAAGGATAGATTTTGCAAGTGTGTTTTGATCAATGTTGTGTGTCAATGGGTGTGAAGCCCAGCATCTTGAGCAGAGTATGTTGTGGAATCACACAGGTGCAAGTTGTGCTTTTGATATTAAATTTCAAACAGGGTCATCTGGCTGGGGATGTTGTAAGAATGTGTATGTGTGACCAGTAAAATTGATACAACACCTAGACTGAAAGAGTAGTCAGTATTCCTTCTTTCTGCATTTATGCTTGAGGATTCTTTTCTCTGAGCTCCTAAGCCAGGTTTTCCTCTGACACTAGGATGGCCTGAGAACACTCTTTTCCTTAATCTTGTGCAATTTGGAGGTAAAAGGACAGAAATAGGCAGGTGGTATAAGATAGTCCCCTTCATTAAAAATTATCTATGTCATTAGTCTTGTTATTAATCACTATGAAATTTTGGGACTTTGCAATTTTTAAATTGCAAACTCGTTTCTCAAAAACATTTCAAACTCGTTATCTCATTGTGACCTTTAAAGTAAATCCACAACCTTGCATCAACTCAATTATTGTACTTTCTTTTTCTGTGATCCTTTCTTGCTCTCTTAGAACTGAGTTTTTATTTTACCATTCCATGACATTTTACTACTCTAAGGTTTTAAGTGCCGCAATTCCTAGATTCTGGGGAATTCTCTTGTCTGTATGACCAAATTATGTTTTATAAAATAAAAAAAATGTATTTTATTGATAGATTTCATACTTTTAATCTTTAGAGTTTTATTGTATGGATCATAGTAGTACTAGAAAATATCTTAGGATTCAGTTTCTATGAATGATGCCATATTAAGAAAATTAAGAA